GCCTCCTGCACGATTGGGGATTGATCCCACAACCTGGGCATATGTCCTGACGGGAAATTGAACTGTGACCTCTTGGTTCATAGATTGACACCACTGAGCCACTGCAGCCGTGCAAGACAGTAAATCCTTTAAACTTTGCTGATCATATGATCTCTATCATAAATACTCAACTTTGCCATTACAGCATGAAGATAGCCATCTATAAGACATAACGTCATGAACATAGCAGTGTTCCAATAAAACTTTATTTGTAAACACCAAATTTGAATTTCACATAATTTTCATGTCTTAAAGTATTCTCCTTTTTTTTTTGTCTTATCCACTTAAAAATGAAAAAGCCATTCTTCATGGATCATACAAGATTTGTCCTATGGGCTGTAGTTTGTTGAGGCCTGCTCTACAGCACCTCTGTCTAATAGAATCACCTGTGACGATGCAAATGTTCTCTAATATTGAGCACTTAAAATGTGGCTAATGCCACTGAGGAACTGAGTTTTTTTATTTTATTTATTTAAAACTGAAATTTAATTTTAAGTAACCACCTTCTACTCGGACTACTGCAGTGGACAGATCTAGGGCTCTGCTGTTTGTCTGACCAAGATTTGAAGCTCCCAGTTTTTATATCTTTTAGATCACAATTTTAAATTCCTGTATGCAAAAGTCTGACTGGTCTTGTTAGGGCCAAATAATGGAATGTAATAGACACTTGGCTTCCAGGACCCCCCTATTAGTTGGGGTTAAGGGGTGATTTCCTACAGAAGAGAGCCCGAATATGCAGGTCAGCAGGGTTCTCTACAATACCCTGAATTCTTTGCATTTCAAAAAGAGGTCCCCAATGGAAAGAGAAAGCAATACCTTTAAAATGACATAAGGTAGTGTCCCCTTATCCATGGAGGATTTGTTCTGAGATCCCCATTGGATGCTTAAAACCACAATTAGTACTGAATCCTATATATACTATGTTTTTTCCGATATGTACATACCTATGATAAAGTTTAACTTATAAATTAGGCACAATAAGAGATTAACAACAATAATGTTAGAATAGAACAATTATAATAATATACTCTAATCAAAGTAATGTAAATGTGGTCCCTCTTTCTCAAAATTTCATATTGTACAGTACATACAGCATGGATTCACTGGACAAAGCGAGGATTTATGAATTGCTTATTCTGGAATTTTTCATTTAATATTTTCAGACTGTGGCTGACCACGAATAATTGAAACTGCGTATAAGAGGGGGACTACTATACTTGTTGTAGCATCAGAGCAGGAGAAGAGAGATTTTTGTGGTTGTACCACATTTCAGAACTCCTTAATTCATACTACAATGTTGACTTGCATGACCCTGGGCCTGTCAGAGAATGTAATTGTTTTAAAATGTGCTACATGTGTAGTCAGTCAATAAGCATTAATAAGCATCTGCTATGTCTTAGCACGGTGCCAGGTGCTTTCACACATTGTTTCAATTTATTCTTCATCTCATAAAAGTTCTCACACAGAATGCTGTTTTGCGGAGAATTAAAATGAAACCAAATGCCTTCATCATGAAAATAATGTGGGTTGTTATTCTGTTACAGAAAACCCTTGAAGATTATATTGTGAAAAAGTAGAGATTTCAGCCTTGTTCCACTTTTGAAACTCTGAGGAAGTTTATTAGTATTCAGAGCTCTGACCTTACAAATTAATGGCCTGTTTACCAGCTTTAGCTGCTATGGGGAAACCCCTACCATCTCTGGAAACCTTTTTATTTATTTGATGGGTGCGTGGGAGTGAGGATACCAATTCTGAATGAGAAATCAGGTAAGGCACCACTGATATTTCACCTGAGACGTAAATAGTAGGAAAGTGTAAGTTGGAAAGATTTGGGAGCAGAGATTTCCAGAACAGGGACTGCAAGTGCTCTAAAGCAGGAAAGAGCTTCCTTGTTAAAGGCCAGAAAGTGGCCAAAGGGGTTTGGCCCTGGAGAGATGAATTCTGGAGATGGTCAATGGTCAGATCATGAAATAAGGCATGTTAAACACTCAGGACAGACCCAGGAAGAGATCTCATATTAGCACACAATAAACACACGTTGCCTTACTGACTTTGAAGAGTCAGGACTGTTTGTTTATGGCCATGTTGAAGGTGACAGCTCAGCCAATGGACATGCATCCAATTGAAATAGAAAATGGATTTATAGAATTATGTCCCCAGTTTCCCTCCAGGTATCACAGACCAAGTAGTTTGGAATGCAATGCCTTGTACGGAACTCAGCAGGGGGATGTGGTTATCTAGAAACCTCTGACTGTGAATGGATCTCTTTTTGTCTTCCCTAGGGTTTAATAACACTGGAAAATTCTGATAAGTTGGAGGGCTAAGATGACCCAGAGAACTAGCATATTAAATCACAGAAGCTGTAAAGCTAACTGACACAGCAGCAATTTGCTCTGAACAGAAATCAGTAAGATTGCTAAAGAACTGGAAAATAAAACAATCACAAATCAGAACAAATTAACAAAACTTTTAAATCAGTGGAGGCCCAAAGAAGCTGAATAGGTAACATAATGTGTGGTCTGATTGCTTGGCTGCGGGAGCCTGGCACAGCAACCAAGATTCTGAGTGAGAGTTTGGAGGGGTGCTACAACGGCATTACACATTTCCATGCATGAAGGCAAAAACAGGATTCTGTGATACAGAGAGATGATTCACTTACTTCATTAATAATGTTGTAATAACGCTCCAGGGCTTAGGAACAATAGAAGGTTACAGTTAAATTAGGTCATCGCAGTCTCAGGCTCTGTTGCCACTCCCTCTTAACATTCTTTACAAACAGGTCATGATTTAGCCAGGGGCGAAGAGCCTAACCTTTTTAAGGTATGAGCCTGTAACCTTCCAAAGGCATGAACCTGTGGCCTTTCAAAGGTAGGAGCCTGTGACCTTTCAGGGGGATGAGTCTGTAACCTGTGTTGAGAAGTGGAGTGATGAACTTTGTGTGTGCTTAGCCAACCGTTTTGTGGTTTTTGTGAATAAAACCTTACTTCTACATCTGGTTGGGGTTGCAGTTTGGTCCTTGCTACGGCGGGGTGCTGTAACTGCAGTCTCTGGCCAGCTAATAAAGGCTCCTAAATTCTACCCTTTGGCTCTGGTGATCGTCTCTTACGGGTTGCCCCATAACAATGTTTGGAAATATACCTATGAACAGGGAATTTGCAAGGTCATGTTTTCCACGGATGACACTGAAACCATTTTGAACATATTTATTTATGATGGTCAAGTGGGGATGACAGTTGTTACTGCAAATGTAGGCACAGGTGACAATGTAGACAGAATGTGACTCTGATGGGCCTCTCAAAGCAGGCAATCCAGTCAAACCAGCAGGCCACTGGTTGGAGCTCTCGGCCTGGCACAAAGGTGGTGTGATGTCACCATGAAATGTAATTTACTAAGTTTATTATGGGTATCAAGGTGATTAGAAATGAAATTTTACTACAGAGATTATGCACTTACTATTATAAAATTTTTTTATTTATTTACAAAGATGCAAAATTTTTTATTGCTACCAACATAGGGGCCATGCACGAATTTGTGCACTGGGCCTCTAGTATAATATAAATAGCAGGAAGGAAGGCTTTTCACAGAGCAGTGCACAGTTGTTTTTTTGGTAACCAGTTTATAACCTATCCCAGTAGTTGGCAAACTCATTAGTCAACAGAGCCAAATATCAACAGTACAACAATATTGGGGGCCAGGCAGGTAAGTCCAACTCAAGAGGAAAGATTTCTACTGGTGCTCAGGCCTCACCAAGCTTTTATTTGGTTCAGGATCCACCCATAGTGTAGCCCTTAGGCAGGGAGGTTCCAGTGACACACAGACTATCTTATCAATAAGGATTTACATGATTAAAGGTGGGGAGGTTGCTTCAGCTACCATTATCTGGATTAACAGAGGTGGTGCACAGCTCTGACCTTTGCTAGGGCTTCAAAGGTCACCAGCCTTCTGGGTTCTCTGTCTACACCTCTGTGCTAGTGAAGACAATAGGTGGTTTCCAACACAATGATTGAAATTTCTTTTGAGAGCCAAATTTTTTAAACTTAAACTGTATAGGTAGGTACATTGTTATTAACTTAATTAGGGTACTCCTAAGGCTTAGGAAGAGCCACACTCAAGGGGCCAAAGAGCTGCATGTGGCTCGCGAGCCGCAATTTGCTGACCACGGACCTATCCTATACCTGTAATATTTTTTTACAAACATAAACAAGTTTTCTTTACCTTTTGCACATCAGAGAAATTTGATGCTCAAAATTGCAAATTTTTAATGTAACTGCAATTTTATTTGATAAAATTTTGAACAAATATGCATAATAATCTTGTATATTAAGTTCAATGTATGCCTTTTAAAAGACATGGTAATGTCAATACATGTACACACATATAAATATTATTCTGGATTGGAATGAAGTGACTCCAATGGCTTAGGTTTCTTCTCTAGAAAGGTCATTAATTATTCAGGTTTGGAATGCAGCCCACCAGGGAACAATGTAATCTGTAAGTGGCTGAGATTTTCAATTATACCTGGTAATTTGTCAAATGTTCACTTCACTTAGCATTAATGTTTATTGATATTTTTATTATCTCTAGGTTACTAATCTAATCTCTAGTTACTATGTCTGATTTTTTTGTTGCCTTTTTCTTTTAATATTTATACCTTCAACTATAATTAGTGGTTGATCATCAATTAAAAAAGCTACTTAGTAGCCTTTACATATGCATTTTTAAAATGCCCTTGGCTGGTTTGAATGACTTTGTGTGTATGTTTGGGAAGTTCTTTCGAAATAGCTACAACATAAGAATAAAGCATTTATGACTGTCTTAAATATACAAACTGTTCAATTCAAACCTATGTAAATCATCATGGTTCAATTATGTTTATTCCATCTGTTTTTATCATCTGCTGTTACAATAATTTATCATTTCTACATGGTATTAAAATGTAAATGAATCAAGAGAGGAAACACATCTGTGGACTGTTAGTTAATAAAACTACATTTGGCAAGTGAGCTAAGTCATAATAATTAATTAAATTTCACTACCCGTATATGCTTGTAATTGTATATTTAGTGTGCATTTGCATAATCACACAATGAGATCTATATGATTCATGCTTTGCTGAGCATAATCTAGACGCACAAATTATTAATTCAAAACTAGAGGTGCTTATAAAGATGTCACAGAGACATTTAGCTTTTTTCAGGAAATGATGTATAGGAAGTTAATAAAAAAAACATTTTAAAAATGTAAATTATGCAGTCTTAAAGTTCAGCAAAGTAACTGATTGAAAAGACCATTGAAGTCACAGAAAAATCCTGGCTTTGTTCTTTGAGATGCTGCTTTTTGAAGTGTATTGGTTCTGTATCTTATAGCTTATGACCAGGGAAAAGTGTGCTTTTTGAAAGAGGTGCTGTGAGCAGGAATTGTTCTGAGCAAGGCTGAGTGTAAAGGGCCCTTCACGCATAAGAATTGCTGATGAATTACATTCCAATCAGTCTAATCCCATGATTAATTTAATTTAAAAAAATGGACTCTAAGTTGTTGTTTTAGGACCATATCTTGGGGCAAAATTGTGCATAGTGGCATTAAATTCTTAGATACAATTTAACAGCCTTTGCTGAAGGTCACTGGGGACAACTTGCAGGAGTAACATACTGTAAACAGCAGCCTCTACACAAAATCTATTTTGGGCATTACCCACCGTCACCCCCCCGAAACCTTGCTCTCTCTAGCTGACCTCTCATTGGGTGATCAAAATAACTCACTACAAGTTTTAATGACAAAATCTTAAGCTATCAGGTATATTTGCATATTGAAAAAGGAGTTTATAATCCAAATACAGGGTGGGGCATAAGTAGGTTTACAGATGTTCCTATGGAAAATAATACAATAATCCTATATAATAAAAGACTAATATGCTAAGTGTCCAGTTGTCTGTTCGTCCATTCAATCAATCAAAGTGTAATATGCTAATGATATGCTAAGGCACTCAACCGCTCACTATGACGTGTACTGACCACCAGGGGGCAGACACTCCAACAGGTAGGTTAGCTTGCTGCTGGGATCCGGCTGACCGGGACTGAGCAAGATGGGCCTGACACGCTCTGGAGCCCTCCTGCAGTCCCTCTCCGGCTAGCCAACCTCCCTGGCCCTAATGGTGCACCAGTGGGGTCCCTAGGCCTGGCTTGCACCTTCTCACCATCCAGGCTGAGGGACCCCTCCCTGCCCCCCGCCACTCGAGTACACAACTTTCATGCTCCAGGGCTCTAGTTAATAAATAATAATTCAAGCATAAACTCTGTGTTCCTGTGATCACAACTGTAAACCTCCTATGCCCCACTCAAGTACATTTTGAAAATGGCAATCTATTCAAACCACTTTCCTGCCTGGTGTTTTATCCTAGATCCTGTGTGTCTAACCTCCTCACTCATTGCATTGAGCATTGCTTGCCAGGTCCTTCATTAAGTATTCATCGTGGCTTTCCTCTCCTACTATTCTCATTGCTCACTAATTGTCAGTCTATGACTTAATAATTGCATTCCAAGAAAGCGCAGGTGAGCAGTTGAATGCCACATTCTCGCCTTATTCTCTCTAGTTACCGTACATGCAATTTCAGTAACACTTGTAACTATTTGAACCATGTAAGAAAAAATAATTCTTAATAGTCATTTCCTAATTGTTTGAGATTGTAAAATAGATATGACAAGACAGGAGGAGGGGGCTAAAATGAAGCATAAATCTTAATGCTTCTCTCCCCAGAAACTGGTAGAAGGGCATGAACTCCTTATGATGCAAATCTGCCTTGGATTTAGCAGGAGTCATACACAAACCAGCTGGAGAAGAGGATATTAATTATTTTTTATTCTCTCAGTGGTTCCTTGTCTGGATCTGCTTACTCAAGAATAAATAATACTCTAAGATGCTTTCAAGAGCAGAATTGAGAAAACCTCAAACCCTTGGTGTGTCTCTAGGAGATTTCTGAGGGAGTTCATCAGATTTGCAAACAACCTCATAATTAAGCAAGAGGAAATAAAATCTAAGTGTAGGAACAACACAACTAACAGAACAATTTAGGCTCAGTTTATCATTGGAGTTGTGTTGATTTATCTATTGTTGATGTTTTTGATTGGCTGCTACAGTTGGTGTCATAGTTGGAAGTTTTAATTTTTTAACACAATATTTAAATAGTGAAGAAATAGTTCATTTACAGATAAGAGTGTCTGCTATTGGTACACATTCTGCTTGGGCTAGGTACAACAGAAGTGTAAAATTCTACTTCCGCCGTGCTAATTAGCATGCTGCAGGGAGCTTGATGTTCCCACAGGCCCAGGGAAGAGCACTCACCCATCTTTTGGGCTCAGGGGAATTTTGCAACTTTTTCCGTTTTTCACTATGTGTTCAGTAAATATGTCTCTTGTGGCCAGAAAGAATTAACACACTTCCTTAACTGCCCAAATTACCTTCTTAGAATCATGGAAAACTTAGCTCTGTGTCTTTGAAGAGCTTTGAGCAAGTTGGATGAAATCAATCTCCAAGAAGCAACTAGAAATGTATGCTATTTATTGAAGTGTTGAGTATGTTTATTAGATGAGCCTATTAGTCACAAGGGATATTTAAATTTTTCAGCAAGTAAATATTCAAACAAGGTTCGCTTTGTGCATCCCTCTCTGTTCATATACTCTGAGCACACAAGTCATATCATAGACTGTATCTTCTCTAATTCAGGACAGGTTTCTTCTATCTCTTTTCTGTTGTTAA